GCTCCACCATACTTTTTTTTTTTTCCGCAGGTGGGAGGGTGTGTGCTGGCGAGTGATTGGGTTGAGAAAGGGAGGCGATCTTATCCCCACAAGTGACAAAAGTGCCTGAGACATTTTCGGTTTTCAAATCTTTCCAGGGTGAAACCTGAATCTCTCAAGTAAAAGAATCACACACAAATAAAGCTCCACAACAGCAAATGAAAAGCCCAAAAAACAGAACTTCCACAGGAAGTCATTGTCATGCAGCAGCCATAGTGCTAACGCCTAGGGAGTCACTTACTTTTCTCCGAGTGTCACCCGGAGGCTGCTCTGGAGTAGAAAAGTTGATTGTTGGCATTTTTTTTTAGCAGAAGACACGCTCACATTCAGAACAGCAATTATTGTAGTTAAAACATTTATTCATAGAAACCACTTAAAAGTCATTACAGCCAAAAGTGCCCACAGTGCTACACACACACACACACACACACACACACACACACACACACACGCACAGATCCACAGTATGAATGCAGCAGGTAGATGGGCCTGTAACAGGGATCTGTGGCTCTCTCAGGCTCAGGCTCGGCAATGCTACTCCTCTAGATGCTCTTCCTGGGTATCAGCCGACGACTATGCTGGGCATTCATTTACTTTTCATGGGCACACAGTGTTATCTTTAATAGGCTGGTTTCAAAGTCTTATACATTGTAATCAAAAAATGTATTATGAAATAGAGGCGGCTGGCCATTTCCCTTGAGTCCAGGGACGGGAAACCGGGTTGTTTTTTTTTTTTTTTTTTGAAAGGCAAAAAATTTGTAGAACAGTAGCATGTGTAAACGAGATCACTATCTAATCTGATCCTCTAAAAGTCAAATACATTCCATTTTGAATGCAAATAAAGCAAAGGCACTTGGTACTCAGCTCCTCTTAGTGAAAATGAACAAAACAAAACAAAGGAAAACAGAAATAATTTTCTGTTCTCAAATCAGACAAATTCTGTACGTGCTGTTGATTTTCTCTATTCTGTAAAAGTGATACATATCTTCACAGTGAAGATTTTTTTTTGAGAAGTTTTTACTATAGGGCACATGCACTCGCCAGAAAGACAGCGAGAGAGAGAGAGACAGAAAGCGAGAAATCATTCCCCAGGGGGAATGGCCATGCCACAATCCCTTCTCCTCCATTCTTTTCTCAGGATCTTGGGCACGTAGGCACACGCACCCGGCGTGAGTTTAAGCCACCAGGTCCGGGACTCAAACTGTGGTCAACTACATGGGAATCCAGCAACATAGTCATTCCACCAAATGCTGGTCCTCACAGTGAAGATTTTTAACTATAACGTATTGGGGTGATAAATTTCCAAATATCTTAAATTACACAGTTTCAAATATTTTAAACTATGTAAAACCAGATAAATAAGTCTAAATCAAAGAAAACACTTTATCCTAAGATATGTCAGGTATCCAACTGTGTTGCTAGAGGAAATTAGCTGCAGAGTAAACTAGTCTCAATTTATCAAATAGTTTCCCCCTTGGGCATCAGTTTTCTGTTTTCTGTTTTTTTTTCTTTTTTAGAGGGTTTTGCTATAGGTAATTTAAGCTCGCCAGAGAGAGACAGACAGAGACAGAGACAGTAAAAGGGAAAGGAGAAATGATCCAGCAGGGGGGATGGCATGACACAATCCCTTCTCCATTTTCCTCCTGAGATCTTGGGCGCACACGCACCCGGCATGATAATCAAGCCATCAGGTCCAGGACTCCATCTGGTTGGCCAAGTGGAAGACCAATGATGGAACCACTACGCCATCTGCTGGCCCCAGAACGTCAGTTTTCTTGTACACAGATGACAGATGCAGTTATTTAAAATAGTCCATCAAAAATAAGAAGCCAGGTGAATAAATTGAAGGACATCTGACCTAATCTTCCAGTGTAGACGCAAACTCTAAGGTATATAAAACTTGGCAATATAGATTTCATCAAATTGTAACAATAAATAGAACAACCTCCTTAATCTCCACTGATTAGAGAGCAGGGTGTTACCAAAAGACAGCTAGAGGGGCCAGCAGGTGGTGTGGGGTTAAGGTGCTGGACTCCCATTCGGCCACCCACGGTTCAAGTCCTGGACCTGGCAGCTTGCTTTCTCACTTTCTCTCTCTGGTGAGTGCACATCTCCTATAGCAAATTTAAAATAATAATAATAATAAATAAAATAAAATAATTCTTTAAAAAAAAAAGAGAAAGAAAGAACCTATACTCAAGGCATTGAAACCAAAACCCATTAATTTGATTCACATATACTAGAATATTTATAACTAATCCATTGTAAACTGAACTTTCAAATCCGTTTCTATCAATGCCATTGTTTACTTTTTAAAAAATTTGTTAGAAGGCATGTGCATTCGCCAGAGAGACAGAAAGAGAAAGTGAGAAGGCACCCCCACACAGAGGATGGCCATGCCACAATACCTTCTTCCTCCATTTCAATTTCAGGATTTTGTGGATACATATGTACACGCTTCTGGCATGTTTTTTAAGCAGCTATTGGTCATGTAGGATCCAGCTGCCTTACCTATGGCAGCAGCTGGCTGCCACTGTTTACTTTTAAAGCATTTCATTCTTGTTAATGAAGAGAAGAAAATGAGAATAAGACCAGAATGCAGTGTTTTTGTTCCATTAGCTTTTTCTTTACCATGCAGTTAATTTTTTATTCTTTATGTCTAAAACAAAAAGAACTCATCATTTTTCTAAATTCCCACTTGTCTAAAACATAACACTTTGATGAAATTCATAAATAATACTACTCCAGAAGTTCTTTGAGATGCATTAGGGAACATAAATGAATACATACTACATAGTAAGTAAGAAGTATTGAGTTTTTAATTTCTTAAGCTTACCTGAAGATTTTCTGGATCAGTTAATTAATCAATGCTCTTAATCTGATAACCTGCTTCTGCTGCTACAGAACCCTAAAAGAGTCTCTCGGTATCAAGACAAAGAATAGGGCCCCTATTATTTTTTAAAAAGATATCTGTGTTCTAAAATCTAGGCTCACTTTTAAAATGGCCAAAGGGGAATGGCTTATCCTATTAAACCTTAAAGTTTACTTCTGAAATCAACATTTAGACTTTCAACAGGAAGTTACTATTTTTGTCCTGACTAATTTTTCCTTAGTCTTCTTAAGTCTCATTTCTACCGGAAAGAAATGAGTCAACTAGATTGATCAGTAAAACCAGAACTTTTACATCACTACTACCTGTGCAGTATTATTTTAGTTTTTAAGTCTTTAAGGTGTATATTAACTGGACAAACACTTAGAAGAAACATATGTGCTTGTAAGTAAATACAGGTTTTCTAACAATCAAGACAGGTCAAGGCCCACTGCCAGATTACTACTCAGATCTTTAAGACACCACAGATTCAGAAAGAGCCAAGTCAATCCAATAACTGCAGAACTAGAATGTGAACTGTTAATTGCCATTAATGGACACAGTCGCAGTTAACTAAAGAATAGTGATATTTATCCTAAAGTGATAACTAAACGCCAAATTGTACTTACCTCCAAATAGTTCCAAATCTCTTAAGCCTTCAACAATGAACTTTTCCGAGACCCACCGCTGAAGAGAAAACCCCAAAGAGAATTAGTATTTCTTCCAAGCCACAACAAATTAGCTATCAGCTTTTAGACAGACAAAAAACACAACTACAAAAAACAGAATCGCGTGCTGTCAGGGTATGTGTCTATGGAACGGTTTTGAAAAGAACCTTGAAATCAACTTTAAAAACCGTATTAATTCCTTTCTCTATTTCTCTTTGCCTAGTTTGATGAATCATTCTTTTTTTTTTTTTTTGAGAGGTTTTTGCTATAGGGCGCGTGCGCTCGCCAGACAGACAGAGACAGACAGAGAGACAGAAAGCGAGAAATCACCCCCCAGAGGGGGATGGTCACACCACAGTCCCTTCTCCTCGGGATCTTGGGCACACACACGTGCCGGCGTGAGTTTTAAGCCACCGGGTCCGGGACGTGAACCGCGGTCGACTATGTGAGAGTCCAGCGACATGGCCATTACGCTAACTGCTGGTCCCTAGTAAAAATAATGTTTTTGGGTTTTTTATATACAAAACTACTTTTTGTAGCTAATTATTCCAAATCATTAATTGTCAATTTAAAAACTATTTTTGGAATTCACAACACAGAAAGCAGGTTTTCACAAGCCTCTCTTAATTTGTAAAAGAAAACACAACAAGGTGCTTATTTTTTTATTCACTGGGTTTTCTAAAGGTATCATCACTTACAATTTCTACCACGTTTCTAAGGACCAAACTAGCAGGACCAATCTATGGTCTGCTGTACTGGCCTATTTCAAATAAGTATTCGATTTCCATTATACAGATCAGTGGTCTGGTTTCACTTGAATCAGGCTAAGTTGAAACAGAAAAGCAGCTCATATTTAAAAGTAATGGAATCAAGATTGGGTTTCACTTAAGAACTAGTGTTCAAATTTGGCTTGGGAGTTGTTTCCACTGGGCAGAGTTCAGGCTAGGGAGAGATTCCTTTTTTCTTCTTAATTGACCGTGAAGTTTATGCTTTCCAATAGAAATTGTTCTCATCTACATAAACATAGGAAAAAAAGACTAACATCTGGAAATAAATTAATATATATTACAAATTGGAACTATAATATCGTTCTTTATCCTTCTCTATAACAATGTTTTCCCAAATTAAAAAAGAATTAATGGGGGAACCGGCCGGCATATGGCATGGTTAAGGGCACCGGATTCCCACATGGCTGATTGTAGTTCGAGTCCTGGACCTGGTGGCCTGCTTTCTCACTTCCCTCTCTCCCTATGTGTCTCTCAAATTAAATAATAATAATAAAGTTAAATAAAAATAATTCAAAAAAAAAAAAAAAAAAGAGGGGGACCAGCAGGTGGCATGGTGGTTGAGGCACTGGACACTCCCATATGGCTGACCATGGTTCGAGTTCCAGACCTGGTGGCTTGCTTTCTCACTTCTCCTCTCTCTCTCTTTCTCTGTCTGTCTGTCTCTCTCTGTCAAATTAAAAATAAACGAATGTGTGAATGAATAAATAAAATTTAAAAAAAAAAGAATTAACAGGACCAGTGGATGGCGTAATGGTTACGTTGCTGGACTCTCATACAGTCAACAGCGGTTTGAGTCCCAGACTCAGCAGCTTAAAACTCACACTGGGAACGAAAGCATGCTTGCCCAAAATCCCAAGAGGAGAATGGAGAAAGGATTAAACTGAGGCCATCCTGCTGGGTGGTGATCTCTTACTTTCTGTCTCTCTTTGTCTTTCCAATGAGCGTAAGCACCCTATAGCAAAATTGCTCTTAAAATAAATAAATAAATAAATACATATTAACAGGCCGAGCTGCAACGGCACAATGAGAGGGTGGCACAGGTAGTAAGGTGCCAATGCATCTTGGTGGCTAAGGTGCAGTGGGAGGTGGCTGAGGTCACATGGGAGGCCTGGGTTCAGTTTCCTGCCCAACCTAAACAGCCAGGCATAATGGCAAATGCCTGTGAGCCTAGCTAACTGCGAGGCTGGGACAGGACAATGACCTAGGGAAACCCTGTCAAAAGTACCTGTCTCTTCCTCTCTCTCCATTTCCCATGCTCTTTCTCTCATTAAAAAAAAAAAGAAAAAAGAAAAAGAACATTGTAGATTAAAAACTTAATATAAAAATCGATATGCGTTGTACCATTAAATGTAATTTATGATTTAATAGTTAGAGAGAGTAGACTCATAATGTCTCACAGCACTTACACAGTGCTAGAAAAATTAATTACTACAGCACTTATAATTTAAGTACTTGATAATAAATAAGATACTCTTCTGTGAAATCATGGGAGCTTGTAAAGGAAGAAAACCTAGTATCTGTCCTTCAGGTCATTTTAGTTGATAAGGTTTTGAGATACAATCGTTTTCCATGTCCAAAAAGTCTTCAATTAAAATTAATGCTTAGAAAAAACTGTTCTAGGAAGTCCAATTTGTGCTGTTTCTTACAACACACAAAACCCATCAAAAACACAGAGGAAACAGGGAAATCATTAGCAGTTACATGTCTACACTGAGAGGGGCATTAACTCACTTAACCTTGAATGACTGAAATTCATAATTTCTTCTCTATCAGACAAGCCAATGGTATTTTTTGGCTCTCTGATCAGCCTCTGCCTGAAAGCTCTTTTCTTGGGAGTAGAGGCTGCAATGCCTTCCTATTTCCTACAGCCTCACTTCTATGTCATTCTGGGCAGCACAGAGAAAACCACCTACACTATCTGCCAAACACATAACTTTTCAGAAAACAAAAATAGTAAAGCCAGAAGAATAGAAACACTCACCCTAATTCGCTCTGGTTTACTTACAAGAAAAGACATGAGTTCCTAAATGTGTTGACCTACTTCAATTTCAAAAACTCAAACCTAAAAGGAAAATGGAAACAAAGAATCAGTAAAATATCTTTTTTTTTTTCCTTTTCTTTTTTTAGACACTGCAGTCCCTCCTCTTCCAGGCCCCTCTAGAGATTCTGGGCAAGCCTGCGCGCGCGCGCACACACACACACACACACACACACACACACACACCTGGCATGTTTTTCAAGCCTCAGGGTCTGGAACTGGAACTATGCAGCTAGCCATGTGGGATCCAGCCGCCTTAACCTCCACACCACTTGCTGGCCCAGTAAAATCTCCTTTTATAGAACTATCTTTTGGGACCAGCAGGAGGCATAATGGTTACACCGCTGGACTCCCACATAGTCGACCGAGGTTTGAATCTCAGACCTAGCGACTTAAACTCACGCGGAGTGCATGTGTGAATGTGCCCAAGATCCCAAGGGGAGAATGAAGGAGAAGGGATTGTGATGTGGCCATCCCTCCTGGGGAGGGGTGATTTCTTGCTCTCTGTCTCTCTTTCTGTCTCTCCAGCAAGTGCACGTACCCTATAGCAAAAACCTCTCTCTCCCTCTCTCTCTCTCTCTCTCTCTCTAAAACAACAAAATACTATCTTTCAATGAACAAAAACTACATTTCTGCCACTGAAAGCATTATACTAGACCTATATATTACTAGATTCTAAGATTTAGTGGGAAAAACTGTCAGGAATGTTAAACCTGGATGTACTTTGGCCAAGTGCATTCTGAAATTCTGCAATTTCTATAAAAGAAAAAGAAGTGTGTTATTATATGGTTTCCTTTCATTTCCAAATTTCTCTTGATCCAACCCCCCAAAAAGCCCCCCCCCACCAGAAGCAATTATCTTCAACTATTTTTGCTGTTCATCCTGCCTTTAATCATCATTTTTAAGTAATGTTTATATGGCTATGACTTAACACCTTTAGATATCTACTAACTGCCCACCATGTAGATGAAGTCTGAACATAATTCTGCCATAATTTGTGGCTAGATTATAGTCCATATTTACATTAGTATGATTCTTCAACACGGTTCATAGCAAACAAAGAAGACCATGTCTCCTTTCTCGTCCGCCCCACGTTCTCCCTAGAAATTGCTTTATCTGTTCATCTGCTTGATTCCCCATACAGCATTTATTACCTTTTTGAACTATTTCAACATTTCTATTTGCCATGTAAATGTATTTTTTCCAAACATGCAGACCCATCGATTCCAATTTCCCTGGAGACTGCCTACCCAGGACCTCTGTCCTCCTGCTGTGATTAGGACTAGTTGCCATCTAGTTGTGTTTTGTTTGCTATAGGGTACATGTGCTGGGGGGAGGGCAATCACGCCCCAGTGGGGATGTCCGTGCTGCAATCCCTCCTCCCCCACATTCCTCTCAGGATTTAGGGCACACACGTACATGTGCCAGGCATAATTCTCAAGCCACCAGTCCAGGACTCATACTGTGGAGTTGGCCATGGGGCATCCAGTACCATAACCTCTCTGCCACCTGCTGGCCTGCTATCTAGTTGGATTTACTTTGCCTTTTGGTGTGACGTTTTGGACCCTCGAATTCAAATTAATTATCTGATAATTCTGTCTCTTCCATTTTATAGAGTTCTAAATAATTAAAGTCTCGTGGCCTGGTGGTTAAGGAACTAGCTCCTACATGGCCAACCACACAGTCCCTAGAACTGGCATCTTGAAAAATGCAATGGGGGGGAGGGACCAGCAGTTAGCGTAATGGCTATGTTGCTGGACTCCCATGTAGTCGACCGCGGTTCGCGTCCAGGACCCGGTGGCTTAAACTCATACCAGGCACGTGTGCGTGCGTGCCCAAGATCCTGAGAGGAGAATGGAAGAGAAGGCATTGCAGAGTGGCCATCCTCCCTCAGGGGTGATTTCTCGCTTTCTGTCTCTCTGTCTCTCTCTATCCTTCTGGTGAGCACATGCGCCCTACAGCAAAAAAACCTCTCCAAAAAAAGAAAAACGTACCAGGCACATGTACATGTATGCCCAAAACCCCGAGAGGGAGAAATGGAGAAAAAACTGTTGCATGACCATGTCCCATGAAGGTGCTTTCTTGCTCTCTCTCTCCATCCATCAAATACATGTGCCCTATGGCAAAATTTTTCTTAAAAAAGTGTATTTGTTGTTTTATCCCCTAATTTTATACTGACTTCACTCCTATTTTGTATCTTTTTTCTTTCCAGATTTCTTTGACATTATTTTCCAACACTTCTACTAAGTTTTAAATTTGGTTACATATTTCCAAGACTTAAAAAATGCCATTTCTTGAAAGTACCTTTTCCTATCACTCCATCTGTTTTATTCTTGTTACTTACAGTTAAGAAAAAAAGAATTTATATCTATCAATAGAATGGCTAAAAGCCTAATACATCATAACCAAGTGGGTTTTCCCTCAGGAATGAAAAGATTGGCTTAACATTAAAAAAATGAATCAATATACAAAAGTGTCTTTAATCAAAATTGTTGGCATATAAAGAACAATTTTAAGGAATTAAACAACAACCAAAAGAGATGCAGGCCACTATGTTGCTGGACTCCCATGTAGTCGACCGCGGTTCGCGTCCAGGACCCGGTGGCTTAAACTCATACCAGGCACGTGTGCGTGCGTGCCCAAGATCCTGAGAGGAGAATGGAAGAGAAGGCATTGCAGAGTGGCCATCCTCCCTCAGGGGTGATTTCTCGCTTTCTGTCTCTCTGTCTCTCTCTATCCTTCTGGTGAGCACATGCGCCCTACAGCAAAAAAACCTCTCCAAAAAAAGAAAAACGTACCAGGCACATGTACATGTATGCCCAAAACCCCGAGAGGGAGAAATGGAGAAAAAACTGTTGCATGACCATGTCCCATGAAGGTGCTTTCTTGCTCTCTCTCTCCATCCATCAAATACATGTGCCCTATGGCAAAATTTTTCTTAAAAAAGTGTATTTGTTGTTTTATCCCCTAATTTTATACTGACTTCACTCCTATTTTGTATCTTTTTTCTTTCCAGATTTCTTTGACATTATTTTCCAACACTTCTACTAAGTTTTAAATTTGGTTACATATTTCCAAGACTTAAAAAATGCCATTTCTTGAAAGTACCTTTTCCTATCACTCCATCTGTTTTATTCTTGTTACTTACAGTTAAGAAAAAAAGAATTTATATCTATCAATAGAATGGCTAAAAGCCTAATACATCATAACCAAGTGGGTTTTCCCTCAGGAATGAAAAGATTGGCTTAACATTAAAAAAATGAATCAATATACAAAAGTGTCTTTAATCAAAATTGTTGGCATATAAAGAACAATTTTAAGGAATTAAACAACAACCAAAAGAGATGCAGGCCAGCCTTTGGTTTGGTGGTGAAGGCATTTGAAGCCTACATGGCCAATTGCATGGTTCAAGTCCTGTACCTGGTGGCATGAAAAACACATCAAACACATGTGTGCATGTGCCCAAAATCTCAAAAGAAGGGAGAAGTAGGGAAGGGACTGTAGTGCGACCATTCCCTATGGTGGTGGTGGTGGGACTCTCTCACTTTCCCTCTCTCTAGTGAGTGAATGTGCCCTCTTGCAAAATTAAAAATAAATTAGTAAGAATCAGTGTAATTCTACATTATTAACTGACTGAGGGAGAAAGAACTCAATAGATGGAGAAAAAGCATCTGACAAAATTCAATACCAATTCATGATGTAAAAAGAAAACTCTCGGCCAACTATCTTCTATTTGAAGATAACTTCTTCAATTTGGTAAAAGGTAATGTATGAAAACATGAGTTTTCCATAAGAACAGGAGCAAAAGAGGAATGCTCTCATCATTTCTGTGAACATGAAATTTCTGGCTAGAGATCCTCACCAGTGCAAAAAGGCAAAACAAAATTAAAGGTATATATATTGGAAAGTAAGGTATAAAACTCTTTATTCACAAACAGCATGACTATGTATATAGAAAATGCTAAGGATTATACCCCCAAAACCCTTAGACTTAAAAAATTAATTTAGGGGGACCAGCAGTTAGCGTAATGGCTATGTCACTGGACTCTCATGTAGTCGACCATGGTTCGAGTCCTGGACCCAGTGGCTTAAACTCACGCCGGGTGCGTGTGCGTGTGTGCCTAAGATCCTGAGAGGAGAATGGAGGAGAAGGGATTGCGGCGTGGCCATCCCCCCAGGGGGTCATTTCTCGCTTTCTGTCTCTCTGTCTCTGTCTGTCTGTCTGGCGAGCGCACACACCCTATAGCAAAAAATCTCTCCAAAAAAAAAAAATTTAGATGGGGCCAGCAGATGGCATGGTGGTTATGGTGCTGAACTCCCACATGGTCGACCATGGTTCAAGTCCCGGACCTGGTGGCTTGCTTTCTCACTTCCCCCCTCTCTCTCTCTCTGGTCAAATTAAAATAATAATAATAATAACAACAAACAGAATAAATCTTTTTTTTTTAGAGAGAGAGGTAGGTGAGGGAGACATTAAAAAAAAAGAGAGAGGTTTTTGCTACAGGGTGTGTGCCTTTGCCAAAGAGACAGAAAGCAAGAAATCACCCCTTTCAGGGATGGCCACACCCCAAGTCCTTCCCCTCCATTCTCCTCTTGGGATTTTGGACATGCATGTACACACACCTGGCGTGAGTTTATGGCCACTGGGTCCAGGACTTAAACAGCAGTTGACTATGTGGGAATCCAGCTATGTAACCATTACACCACGTGCTGGTCCCAAATAAAATAAATAATTAAAAAAAAATTAATTTAGATACAAGAGCCAACTGGGGCTGGTAAGTGGCTTGATGGTTGGGATGCTGGACTCCCACATGGTCAATCTTAGTTCAAGTCCCAGACCTGGTGGCTTGCTTTCTCACTTTCCCTTTTTTCTCTCTCTGTCTGGTCAAATAAAGAAAATAATTAATATTAGCAAACAAAAATAAATAATTTTTTAAGAATTATTTTATGTAACTTTATTTATTTACTTTTAATTTGACCAGAGAGGGACGCAGAGAGAGAGAAAGTGAGAAAACAAGCCACCAGGTCTGGGACTCAAACTGCAGTCAGCCATGTGGGAGTCCAGCACCCTTAACTACCATGCCACCTGCTGACCCCAGATTGATACTTTTAAAAAAAAAAAAGAAAGAAAGAAAGAAACAAGCAAACAAAAGCCAGCATGGTGGTGTGTGCCTATAATCCCAGCCACTCAGGAAGCTGAGGCAGGAAGATTGTGAGTTCACAGGAGGAGGGAGAATTATAAAAACAATGCCATTTATAATGTCCACCAAAACATTAAACTTAGAAATAGGGGGCCAGCAGGTGGTGTGGTTGTTCAGGTGCTGGACTCCCATATGACCAACCACAGTTTAAATCCCGGACCTGGCAGCTTGCTTGCTTGCTTTCTCTCTCTTTCTCTCTCTCTCTCTCTCTCTCTCTCGTCAAACTAAAATAACAACAATAACAATAACAAATTAAATTAAATAATTCTTTAAAAAAGAAACAATTTTAATAAATTTTGCTAAAATTATAAAATATTGCTAAGAGGGATTAAAGATGATCTAAATAAATAATATGCCATGTTCATAATTACAAGACTCAATATTGTCAAAATGTCTCCAAATTTACCTAGATTGAATGCAATCCCAATCATTATTCCAGCAGACTTTTTTTTTTTTTTTTGAGAGGTTTTTGCTACTGGGCATGTGCGCTCGCCAGAAAAACAGAGACAAAGTGAGAAATCACCCCCCAGGGGGATGGTCACGCCACAATCCCTTCTCCTCTATTCTCCTCTCAGGATCTTGGGCACACACACACTCGCTTGGCGTGAGTGTAGGCCACTGGGTCCGGGACTCGGACCATGGTCGACTACATGGGAGTCCAGCGACATAGCCATTACGCCAACTGCTGGTCCCATTTTGAAGGGCTTTTCAATCAGATTATGAGAACAATGAACAGGCCTTAAACGCACGTCAGAGCATTGATTGTATTTGACAGGCAGGAGGAAGACACTGCCTTTTTATTTAAACTTTCCATAGAATGATCACACACACACAGCAATGCTCTAATGCAGTGTCCCTCGAACTTCACTATGCATGCAAATCTCTTGGAAATATTGCTTCAAAACAGACATGGTCAGTCTGAGACATTCTGGGCATGCACACGTGTCAAGGATTCTATGGGCAGGACTGTTGTGACAGACCCCCGTGGAGGGTGTTTTTCTCTCTTCTTTTATCTCTTTCACAATGTGCGCACACACATGCATACACTGTCATGAATAAAGAAAAACAATTTTTTTTTTTGAGAGGTTTTTGCTATAGGGCACGTGCGCTCACCAGAAAGACAGAGACAGACAGAGAGACAGAAAGCGAGAAATCATCCCCTCAGTGGGGATGGCCACGCCACAATCCATTCTCCTCCATTCTCCTCTCGGGATCCTGGGCACTAACTGCTGGTCCCAAGAAAAACAATTTAAACGAGAGAAGTATTTTTAAATGGGAGCCAGCAGGAGGCATAGTGTTTAAGGCACTGGACTCCCACATGGCCAGAATATGGTTTGAATCCTGGACCTGGTGGCTTGAAAATCATGCCAGGTGTATGGGTGTGCATGCCCCAAATTCCAGGATGAGAATGGAAGAGAGGGGAATGTGGCATGGTTATCTCCCTGGGGGGTGGATTTCTCACTCTTCCTCTCACTGTATCTGGTGAGTGCAAGTGCCCTGTGACAGAAAACAAGGAAGAAATTACTCAGTTAGAAAGTACTTAGTTAGAAAGGTCACCAGAATTCAGGGCCAGCGGGTTGAGAGGTGGTTGGAGGGTCTGGACTCCTACATGGCCAACCACAGTTCAATTCCCTGACCTGGCGGCTTGCTATCTCTCTTTCTCTCTCACTCTGTCAAACTTTGGTCAAATTAAACTAAATAAATAAATTAATAAAATAAAGTTAAATAATTCTTAAAAAAAAGAAAGCTCACCCAGAAAGGGAGAAAGCACTATCCAGTGGGGCGAGCTTATACTGCAATCCCTTCTCCTCCATTTCCCCATCCTGTTGGGATTTGGGCACGCACACACTCACATTCATCTGGAGTGTTTTGCAAGTCACCAGGGTGGAATTCAGACCACAGTGGCCAAGTAGAATCTGGCTCCCTTAACCACTAGGCTATGTGTTGGCCCAGGGGGAATATCTTTTACAAACTCCTGGATTTATTATTATCTGGTCTCCATTTGAAAACTTCCGATGTCAGAGACTCACTGTCTTACCAGGCAGCCCATTCTAAGTGTGGACAACTGATGACACCAATTTTTTCCTGTGCCTTAGAGACTGGGAAAATTGTGTGTCAATGACAGAAACAGGAAGGCTCAGAAGTGGAAGTGGTTTTGGTGGAAAGATGAGTTTGAGTTTTTAAGTCACATGAGGTTGAGAAGACAGTTAGATATTCCAAGAAGAAATATATAGCATCCAATTAGAAAAGGAGGACTAGGCCAGTAGGCAGCAAGGAGGTTAAGGTGGTTGGATCCTACACAGCTGACTGAGTAGACCAGTGCTTGAGAATGCCGGGTACATGTGCATGCGTGCCTAAAGTTCCAAGATCGGAATGGAGAAGGGACTGCCATGTGGTCATCGCCCTTTGGGGGTGCTTCCCCACTTTCCCACTCTCTCTCTCTCTCTGGTGAGTGCATACAGCCTATAGCAAAAATTAAAAAAAAAGAAAAGAAAAGAAGAAAAAGAAAAGTAGGACCAATGCTTAAGAAAGTGGTTAGGTCAGTAGGTGGTATAGTAGTTAAGGCCACATGGCTGATCCCGGTTCGAGTCCTGGACCTGGAGGGTTATTTCTCACTTTCCTTCTCTCTCTGCCTGTCTATGGTGAGCACATGTACCCTATAGCAAATTTTAAAAATATTAAATGGAACTAAAAAAATAAATAGTTATGTGAACTTGGCGGTCCACAGCTAAAGTTAGAAGAGTAACTAGAACTCCCTCAAAAAGGAAATGATGAGAGAAAACCAGAAGAGTGAGAAATAATCCTAGGGACAGGTCCATATGTAGGGCACAGTCCTTGAACGACAGCTAGGAAACAGATCCCCAAAGTAACACTTTAAAGATCCCGCTTCTCTTCCTGGATCACCTTTCCTCTCCCCTGGGACACCCTGACCTGTCCCTCGGAGCTCTCTCATGTGTTCTGTGCTACAGGGAAGCCCTCCCTGACCTCAACTCCCCAGTTCAATCCCTACGTCTACTTCACTCTCAGTTGCCTGTTTTTCTTTCCAACTAATGAATCCTGCTCAGTGCTGCATCCCCAGGGGCTGCTGTGCTTCCAAGATATTTGTTTAATTAATCATAGTAAAAATACTAACAGCAACAAACCTATTATGTGCTAAAGCACTGTGCTTGCACAGATCAGCTCACAGTAACTATTATCATACCCATTTTTCCCCCTGATTGGGCAATTAAAGCTCTGGGAGGTTAAATGCCCAAAGTCGCAGTCAAGTAGTAGGCACTTGGGTAAGTCTGTCCTGAAGCCTGTGTTCAGAAATCAGAGTGATAATAGAGAAGCCCAGGGAGAAGTTTCAAGGACAGGTGCACAAAGATGAAATGATGACTGAGAAGACATCACTTGATTAACTAATGCTGATGACCAGGTACCAACTGGTTCAGAAAGAATTCATTTACCTTGATTTAATTTTTTCCCTCTTTGTCCCTACTTTTGTCACTGATTTTCAAATTTCCTCCGTGTCTGGGGTTACAACTATAAACACTGCGTTTGAGCCCAAATACCTCTAAGAGGTTGTTGAAAGATGAAGGAAGGATTTGACCAGTTCCGCAGTGTAACTAATGGCTGAATTAATAGGCTCCTGGCCTGACGCAGACAATCCGGTTTGGTTTCTTCATCACCTCTCAGGGGACAAGAAACAGTCTTGGGTATCTCTCGAAACTATCAATCCACCGACGGAAAACTGTCTAATGCTGCAAATACATACCGGAGTGGGGTCTACCTCAACAGAGAGGACAGAAAGGAAAGGACGATCCCGGCGGCTCGAGTTAAAGTATGTTAAGATTATGAGCAGAAAGCTGAGTAGAGCTTAGTTCCCTGTTCCCTGAAAACTGCGCCTTCCTCCGTTCGCTACTCTCTCCACTCTCCATCTCAGGCTCCAAATCTACGGCAGGCACTTGAACAATTCTTGGAAAACAAAGACAATTAGACGCTTCGTTCGGGCTGATTCTGGGAATCAACCGGATGTTGTGTCCTTACGGGGGCTTGACCTGCTGCCTGTGCAGTCAGGAATGAGATGGGGATGGGGAGGAGGACAGGTGAGCACCAGGATCTGCTCGGGCAGCACAAATTGACACCTGGTCTCAGATTCTCCACCTCAAGTTTCGGGGGGTAAGAGAGGAGGGAAAGCCGGAGCTCGCCTCTGCCGCCTGGCAACTCCTCTCCGGCGTCTCCCCGCCAGGCCCAAACCTATTTCTGCTCTCGAGCTGCGGCTCCTCATGGCAAGACCCGAGGTCACCGGTTAAAGAGGGCCCGTGGAGGGCGAGGAGGAGCCCGGGATAGGCGCTGTGACGATGGCCTGGGCCTGAGGAGGTGGGGTCGGCATCAGGGCGAGGAAGGACTGCTCGCTGGAGCGCACCAGTCGGCCGCCCAGCTAGCCCGGTACCTGGTCTTGGAGTTAGCAGTCTCGATCCCGTCTCGGCTCCGCCTCCTCAATTTTATGGCCGCGCCGCCGCCAGGCCGGTTGCTGGGCGGGAGGTACGCAACGTGCCATGCGCAGTAGAGGGTCCGGGGAGGGCTGGCGGGAGGCCCCGCCCCAAGTTAGGCGGCTCCGCCCCGCCAAGCCCATCCGGCGCGCGTTAGAAAGCCCCGCCCTTCCCCGTTCCCCGCGTGTTAGGAGGCCCCGCCCCTCCCCGTTTCCAGCGTGTTAGGACGCTAGGATCCTGCCAGGCGTTAACAGGCTGTGGGCAACCAGCGCCGACTAGGGACAGCCCGGGTTGCTGTCCTCCTGCCGTGGTATCTTGTTCCTTCAAGCGCTTACCTGGGTTCTTTAGGTCTCAGAGGAGGCCTGTTTCCTTTTAGTATTCAAAAGTCAAGATAGTAGCAGGGAAAGCAGCAGTGTGGAAGCAAAGACGTAGGTTGTCATCAGAGAGGACAGGAAGTAGGTGATTCCAAAAAAGAATAGTCAGGGGGACTAGAGAAAGGCAAACAAACCAACTCTGGCGGCTGACCTGGCTACTCTGAGGATCATTTATTACGTTTCATGGGGGAGGACTTCAAAGAAAAACCCGTCTCCCACTTTTCTTTGAAGACATCTCAGATGTCCCTCACTTTGGCTCCCAGGGCATCAGACGACAGACAGCAAAGGGGAGACCTTTCTATGTCCAGGCTCCTTACCAAAGACAAGGAGAATAGCTCAGCTAATAACATTTGTCTCCCTCTGAAGTTTTCTGACCCTAAACCGTTCCTAATCTAAGACTCGGGAGACATGATGTTTGCAGAATTCTGTATTTGCCTTGATAGGAAAGCTTTCACAAGTCAAGTCCTTCAGGGCTTGAGAAAAGATGTAGCAATCAAGTGACAAAGATTACCTCCGAGACACTAGGTTTTCCAGTGTCTTACTCCACCACAGAGGGAGGTTAGTGTCCAAAAAGTGAATATATACACCATTAGTGAACACTCATCCCAGCTCTGATCCCTTGATATAGATTTACACTGAGGTCTTCCAGGCAGGGGAGTTCAGCTACATCCACACAGGGTGATGAAAACGTGCCCTGAAACAAGTGGACTTTGCCATCACAGCAATATGCTCCTGAAGGTCCCAATTTATTTTACACACATCACTCTGATCTCATCTAGTGCTTTAACATTCCAAAGCACTAGCTTCAGTCTCTCCTCAAATAAGATGCCTCGCTTAGCCACAACCTAGTAAAAATCACAGAGCACCATAGAAAACTGAAGAAAAATTCTCAGCAGTGTACTGTTGAAAAGATCTGCACAGGACCAGCAGATGACGAAATGGTTATGTTGCTGTACTCCCACGTAGTTGAACACAGTTCAAGTCCCAGACCTGGTGGCTTAAAACTCATGCTAGGTGCATGTGTGCCCAAGATCCCAAGAGGAGAGTGGAGAAGGGATTCCAACGTGGTCATCCCCTCAGGGGGTGATTTCTTGCTCTCTGTCTGTCTCTCTGATGAACTCACATACCTTATAACAAAAATCTCTCAAAAAAAAAAAAAATCTTCACATATGGTCTTTGGAATTGAGAGTACTAGAGACGACAGTGCCTGACAAACCCTAACTGCATGCAGCCATCACAATGAAAAGTTTAAACACAGAGGTACTTCCTGTCTGCTCTACCAATACCTAGGAGCCCAGTAGCTACATTTTTTAAAAAAAAAGAATCATTTGTTTATTTAATGCCAGATGTTATTATTTTTTAACTTGACCAGAGAGAGACAGAGAAAGGGAAAGGGAGAAAGCAAGCTGCCAGGTCTGGGACTCCAAGCATGGTCAACCATAGGAATCCAGTGCCTTTAACTACCCGCCGGCCCCGCTACATCATTTTCTAACTGGATGTCGCAATCTACAGTCCAAAAAGGCTAAAAGCTCTTATCAACTTCATGACTGCCCACAAAAAGCAGAGAATCTTTTAGCCCACATTCTGCTATTTTAGTTTTCCTTGTGATAGGGCCTTCCACATACTAATCCAGATAACTTAGGACAAATGGTGTGATAAAGGTGAACTTTCAGTTTGTAAAGTATGTCTTCTCCTGCTTTGCTTTTGACTTGTTATGAGCCCTAAGAATCAAGCCCTCTAAAACTTTCCACATATTCCTGAGGGTTGGGACTTGCCCTTGATGGCCAGTTTTCTGAAACTGCCTTGAAACTTGGGAGGAATAAAAATGGATGAAGACCCTGTTTTCAACTCTGAGTTATCCAGTTTAAACTACGAACACTTGGCCTCTTCAAGATACCATATGAATTAACTGCCAAAGGTAAAACCGATTGTCTGTAAGAACACCCAAGTGAGAAGTATAGGACAATGTGTAAACGTCAAAATAGTTGAATAGGATTATTTAACTTATAGAGTATTTATATCTCAAAACACTTTGTATGTATTGTCTAATAATGGTCTTCCAAGCACTCGTCTTAGAAAGGGGAGAGAAAATAATGACGATTGGTGGACCAAGAAAAGACTTATTGGGGCTGGTAGGTGTCATGGTGGTTAAAGGTGCTGGATTCCCACATGGCCAACCACAGTTCAATTCCTGGACCTGGCAGCTTGCCTTCTTGATTTCCCTTTCTCTCTCTGTCTCTCTCTGATCAAATTAAAAAATAATGGTAACAAGTGGAATTAAAATAAATATTTAATAATAACAATAATAAAGACTTTGGGACTAGCAGCTGGTATAATGGCTATGTTGCTGGATTCCCATGTAGTCCACCACAGTTTGAGTCCCGGACCCAGTGGCTCTGACTCATGCTGGGTGCGTGTGCGTGCGTGCCCATCCCCCTGGGAGGTGATTTCTTGCTTTCTCTCTGTCTTTCTGGTGAGCGCACACACGCCATAGCAAAAACCTCTCCAGAAAAAAACCAGACTTAATAAAACACAAGGATAGCACCTGGTCTGACCACAAGTTTAGGGTTTGTTCTGGGATCAGAAAACTGGCTTTAATTACACCTTTACTACAGCTTTGCTACTTGATATAGCTACAGGTTAAGAAAAATGTGCATAAGACAAATATCCAAATTTGCTATTAACTTCCAGAGGGTGTGTATGCTGCAATCTCTTTCCCATTTCAGTATTCTGTTGGGATTTGGGGCATGCATGCACATGTGCCTGGCCATGTTTTTCAAGCCACCAGTCTGGAATTGAACTGCTCAGAAGGCCAAGTGGCATCCTACACCTTAACCACCATGCCACCTGCTGTCCCACACTTGGCATGTTTTGGACATGTTGAGTGAGGATTTGAACTGCAGTCAGCTATGTGGGATCTAGCTCCTTTAACCACTAAGCTACAGGGCCAGCCTGAGATCAACTCTTTTGAAAGAAAAGCATATCAGTGCTTTTACCAAATAGAAAGAACTTTCCTATAGATATCCATTCTTATAGAACAATTCCAGAAAAGTCAAGGCGGCACTCTGAGATTTTTGTCAATCACTTTAATATATATCCATAGGTAGTTCATATGAATGTTTAAATTACAAAATTAGCTGCCATGATCCCAATGTGTGGAACTCTTAAGAAAGCTTTTATTACTCAAAAGATAGCTAAGCATACCAACTTTTATTTCTAAAATGTATTTTAAAGGCTTGTAAAACAAGGCTAATTCTAGAATTATATAGCATTAAGATAATTAAATTTTGTTATTTTTGTTATTTTAATAACTTAACTTCATGAATTGTTAAAAAATATTACATTTGTATCTCCCGGTTTACACATCTCTGTATTAACCTAAAGAAAAACCCACGTGAAAAGTTTCCATGCGTTTACAAACGCAGCGGCACGTGCTGTTTTCATGGCAACTTATTGCCTCAAAACAGACCTGCACATAAAGCATCAACAAAAAAACCCACCACCCCTCTCCCACCAAAAACCCAACCCTTTCCCATTCCCAGCAAAAATTATCTGGTACAAGCAGTGACTTAAAAAATGCTTTCTCAGTAGGAAGCATTTATAAAATGCAGAGATCTGAACAAGCTAAGTGCTCGTGCAGACAGATGGGCCTCTCCCCTAAGAGTTTCTTCCTTAAGAAGCAGAAAAAACTCCCGATACTTTGGGAAAGCTCATTGTAAAAAGTATATTTATAATTATTCATGGCTGTTTCTGTGAAAGAACATACCCAGCCTCAACCATGGAAGATAAAAGCAGAGGGAGAAGCAAAGGCACACAGCCATAACACAGAGAGCACAGCTTCTCCAAGAATATCCACGAGGTTGCAGCAACCAAGGAGGAAAACACTGGTGACCCCACATAGACCAAGGATCTGATCCAGGTCAAGTGTTGATTTTTCATGCATCTGTTACTCAGGAAAAATAAACATAAACAGCCACTTAAAATATAGCATTCACATTGTCATTAGTTCATGGAATCAAACACAGAGAAAACTATGCTCTTGTACTACTTATCCCTAGATTTTTCCATGTGCACATCAGGACCCTAACACCTGTAAGTTTCCTATAATACTATCATCAGCAACTCCCACCTATAAAACATACGCAGCATTATGTTTTGAGTCCCTGAAATTTTGTTACCACATATAGTGTTCTAAATTTTACCTTTTCACAAGTTTAATGTAGACACAGAAGAAAACACCAAGCAATATTTATTGTGCAATTCCAATGGTTATTTGTGGAACTGTGGCTTAGTCAGTCTTCACAGCCATTTCAACTGCCTACTTTAAACAAAAAGGAATAATCTAATTCTCTATCTATAAATGTCATGATATTTTTCCAACATCAAAGCACTAAAAGCACTGATGATTCATGTTATAATTTTTACAATATTTTAAACTATACAGATATCATGTATCATTCCTTTTATAAAATAATCAAAATAATTTTATTATCTGGAATAAAATTACTAAAACAGAGCCCTTTCACTATACCTACAACCTCTGTAAAATTCCATACCCAAAGCGGAATAGATAGTGAAATAAGGGTTTTTAAAATGGCAGGAGTGTCTGAACTTTTAGATGAAAAAAATGAATTGATGTTTTTTAAGTTTCTTGTGAATTCAGGGCTTACAGGTAGGCATTAGGACTCGGAACACTGGGATGACTTTACATGGCTTTCACTT